ACTGAATTGATTTAAAATTTAATTTTTTTTTTTTTTTTCCTTTTTGGTCTTTTTGAAACAGGGTCTTTATGCAGTTCAGGCTGGCCTTGAGCTCACTTTATAGCCCAGGCTGGTCTCAAACTCCTAACGATCCTCCTGCCTCAGCCTCGCAAGTGCTGGGATTACAGCAGGCGTGCACCATCACACCTGGCCGTTAAAGTCAAGATTTTGTTTGTTTGCTTTTGGGGGGGCAGTACCAGGAATTGAACTCAGGATCTTGTGCTTGCCAGGCAGGCACTTGTGCCATTGAGCTATATCCCTAGCCCCAAAATCAAGGTTTTTTAAACAAATTGTACTTAAAAGTACAATTAAAATGTAGTAACTCGTTTTAGAAATAGTTGTCATTTTGTCTTTGAAAAGTTTTTATATGTACACTCTGTAATGGAGGTGGTTTGTTAGTGTACACCTTGCTTACCGTGTACAAAGCCCTGGGTTTAATCGTCAGCATATCCTCCCCACAAAAAAAGGAGGAGGAAAGAGTAAGAAATTATTTGAAAGAGGCTATTATGTAATGGGTGGAGTTCAGTGGTTTAGACTGAGCTGGCCTGGAATTTTAGGATCTGGTACAAATTAAATATTCAAATACAAATTAAATATTAAATGTTATTCCTTTTTTCCTGGCTCCTCCTACTATTTTTTTGGTTTTGGTTTGGTTTATTTTGTTTTTTTGAGGCTGGTCTCATTCTGTAGTTCAGGCTGACTTCAACTCGCTATGTAGCCCAGGCTGGCCTTAAACTCACAGGGATCCTCTTGCCTCAGCCTCTCAATTGCTGGGATTACGGGTGTGAGCCACCATGCCCAGCTCCTTCTTAATACTTTCTAATACTTTTATATTTTAAAAAAAATCTCTCTCACTCTCTTAATTGCTTTTGCTGTCTTCCACTGCCATGAACTGTTGCCCCTCTGCCATATGCTACTCTGCTTTGGAGCCAGCCAATATGGATTGAAACCTCCACAAACTGTGAGCTAAGTAAACCTTTCCCCTTAAAAGAAAATAATGATGGATGGATGGATGGATGGACAGATGAATAGATAGATAGGTAGATAGCAAAGTTACCATATGGTCTTACTGGTTATCAACAGTGGTTACATTTAACTGCCACAGTATTTTATGTTTTCCTGGGGACACAGTATTCAGCTCTTCAGAGGTTAAATGTACTTTGCAGGATGTGTCTGGGCATTTAACCATAGTTTCTAACATTTTTTTGTGTAAAATAAATGCAAAGCATTCTGAATGTGCAATGCATGACACATGCAAACTGCTTGCAAATCTGGCTTCTTGTAATATTCAATAGATTATTCTGATGGAGCTAATGGTGATAATGTGTAGGTTCCCAGGTCAAAATTTACTACTTTTTAAAAAAATTTTAAGCAACTTTTTAATAGCCTTTAGCCCATGGTTTTACCTTGTAAACACTTACGTGAACAATCGTGATACTAATTAAGTTCTAAGAATGTATTAACTCAGCAGTCTGTGAGGAGAATCCTAAATTGCCTTGCGTTGGAGAGGGCCTTAGCGGTTATGCTAGGAGCTCAGGGATTTCATTTGTTATTGAATGGCCACCTTCTGAACCTATGGTCTAGTTTTCAAATGGTATAATCATCAGAGTAGTCAGTGCTGGGTTTTAGGCTGGCTCTAGGGGGAAGGGACCACGCGTGGGGTGGGAGAGTGTTAAGGTGTGTGGGGTAGGGGTGTGGAGGTTGGGGTCAGATTCCAATTCACCAGACACCAGAGGATGGACCAGAGCTTGGTGGGCCAGAGGCTGCAAAGCACCCTTCCCGGGCTGTTTGTGAAAGCAGCCAGGCCTCTGTAAATAGCGGCCAGCTGTTCTCTCAGCAGGGCTGGTCAGCATGACCGCCCTCTCTTGTCTTGGTGGGCTGAACTGACCTTTCTTCAGCTGCCCCTGATGCTTGCAGGGAAGGAGCGAAGAGAGGTCGCCCTCTGCCTACTTACTCTTGACTACAGATCAGTTAAGCTTGCTGGAATTTTGGCTCCCTTCCTGGGTCGGTCCTTGTTTTCAGATAGTACGGTTTCTTGTCTATAAATGTGGCCTGGGCAGGAGGCCTCTTCCATCAGTAACCGGCGGTGGATCTTGGATAAGCGGTTCATGCCGCGGTTTGGAAAGCAGCAGTCAGCCGGTTATGTGACTCATAGGGTGTCTGTAAGTGGTCACAGGCCCCCATCCACATGTCTCACAGTTAGGAGTGCTGTCACTTTTAAAAAATCAAGACTTGTGATTTGTCTTTGAAAATGCCCCCACTACTAGGATAGTTCAGTCATTATTATTATTATTACTATTGTTATTATTAATACTATTATTATTATTTTGAAAAATTAGCAATCTGGCCTTGGTGGATATGTTTGCTATTCTAGATTTCCAGTTTCCTTTTGTCTAAATTGAGGATTATCATGCCAACTTACTATATGTGTATGTAAATAAAAATAGTTTGAAAAGCTAAAACTAGTAAAATGTAAGGCTGTTTGATTATTTTAAAAAAGTGATTTGGTTTTTTTTTTTTTCCTTCCCAGTATTTGTGTAGAACTATGAAAGTAATTTTACTTATTTAAGTAAAATTGTTCATGCTGTATATTCTTTGCCCTGTTGACCTTTTTCTTTGTAGTGCTTGGTTCTGTACTTGCATTGATTTTTAACATTCTGTATTAATCTGGAGAGTGATTTTATTGTTGTTTTTTAAAGATCTGTCAAATTCTTGGCATAGGAAAGACTATGTCATCTGGCTGACATGTGAAAATAGTTACAAGAATTTTTAAATGCTGCAAACATTGTGACAGTTTTCCACAAAGAATATTTGAAAATAGTTGACTGGTTTCTCTGAGGCTATGTTTGTTGTTGGGATTTAAATGCCCTTTGTTGTTCTTAACTCTGGGGCAGGATGGCTGGTGTAATGTTTCGTTTTTAATCTACCAGACTGTATGTATGTATGCAGCTGAAGCTTCAAATCGTGGTGTGTAAGAATAGAAATGTGAAACATGTCTAGGGGCCGGGGATTTAGCTCAGTGGCGCAGGGCCTGCCTGGCAAGTGTGAGGTCCTGTGTTTGATTCCCAGTACTCCCCCTCAGAGAAACATGTCTAACTGGATTTGAGTTATTTGAAACCTGAATCAAAGGATAAACAACTGAGTTGTAATCCCTTTGCTTCGGCCCCTTCACAGCACCTGTCTACCACTAATTGAGCACCTTGTGTTGAAACATAGGTTTTTATCCCAGGGCCAGAAATAATCAGGGGCAGGGAGACAGTGGTTTTAAAAAAGGGGATGGTGGCCGGATGTGGTGGTGCACACTGGAATCCCAGCACTTTTGAGGCTGAGGCAGGAGGACTGCTGCAAGTTTGAAGCCAGCCTGGACTATATAGTGAGTTCAAAGCCAGCCTGAAATATGTAGTCAGACCCTGTCGCACTGTTCCCCCACCCCAGTTTTTTTTTTTTTTTTTTTTTTACAAAGAGAAATGGGGTCTTGCTATATTGCCTAGAAAGCTCTGAACTCCTGGGTTCAAGTGATTCTCCTGCCTCTTTCTGAGTAGCTGGGACTGCAGGCATGTTCCACCACACGTGGCTGGCTATGGTTTTACTCAGCAAAAAAAAAAAAGCTTTGTACCATGACTTTGAAAAATACTACTGACTTCTCAAGTATATTCTGCCACAGTATTGCCTTCTTTCCAGGAGATTGCTGTTTGCTCCCTCGGAGCGATTTCTTACTCTTCTGGAATGACGAGAAGGGCTCACTGGTGCATGCCAGGCTGCATCTCTGCTCGCGCTGCGTGTGCTGCGTACTGTAGTGTCTGTTGATGCCTGGCACATCGCCCCAAAACTTAGCAACTTGCAGTAGCGGCATTCTCTGTTTGCCTGGCTTAGATGTCTGGGAGTGGCTTCATTTGGGTGGATCAGAGTCTGGATCTTAATTTCTCCTGGGCCACGCTTCTCTGTCTGCAGGGTCCCCTAAGGTGGCTCATGCACGCTGGCAGGTCCGTGCTGAGTGCTGGCAGGAAGACTCCTCAGTACCCACTGTGTGGGCTCCATGAGTGAGCACCCTCCCACCACAGGGAGGGTAGGGGAGTCCCTGGTGGAGGAGGATGCGTCTTTGTGACCCAGCCTCAGAGGCCAGGCTCTGTCTTTACTGCAGTGCTCTTTTTTCACACTGAGGCTTTTACTGTGGGAGGAGCTCGGTGAGGCTGGAAATACCAGGAGATAGAATTCTTTGGGGCTGTCTTGGAAGCGGGCTCGGGGCTGTTAGCTCTCTCTGTCGTTGTTTGTTGTTTCCTGGTTCCAGACAGCTCTGTGGAATTTGAGTGGGCATTCTATGTATGTGGCTTCTCATGGAAATATACCAAAAGAATTTGGGAAAGGTCCAGATTATAACTTGCTAGGAGCACAGTGATAAGTTAGGAAAGTATGTTGGTTTAGAGTTTATAAATCTGAAAATTTATGTTAACCTGGAAGTGACTTAATATGGTTCTTCCTAAGTGACAGACTTGGAATAGTTTCACTTGTGAAGGACTGTTGAGTCAAGAAGATGAGTAGATGTAAACGAAAATTTCTTTGATGGTTATATAAATAGATTTAGTCTCTGTGTAAATTTCTTTCCATTTATCTCATCATGCCTTATATTTAGGTATACTCATTTTATAACTAGATTTTAAAATTACAGTGTTTAGAAGTTCATCACTAGGAATTTAGGTTTCCTTCACAGGAAAAAAAAACACATTACATTGTTCATACATTCTTCGAATTGAACTTGTGTTCCAAGTCTAACCCACAGTTATTTAAAATTCTAGAGACTTGTGTAGGAAGAATTATCTTAACTTGGGTGGGTGCTGGTGGCTGAGGATCCTAGATAAAGCAGAGAAGCCAGCTCCACTGATTGTAGGAAGCTTGTTTTACACTGACAGCATTCTGTCTTCATTTAGAAGTAAGTTGCCTTTTTCTTCTCTTTTTAAATATAGGTTATATATTTGGGGAGAACTCCAGAAGAAGCATATGGAGTATTAATCTTTGGAGATACATCCTATATTCCTTTCAGGTAAATATTAAGAATGATGTCATAGATTAATCAGATTCTTGCCAGAACTCTCTTTGTAGTTGTTTCTGGAAGATAAACATGTTAAGTTGGGTATAAGTAGCACTCTAGACCCAGGGTCCTCGACAGTGACTGTTGCTATTTTGTCATGGACGCTGCCTTGTGTGTTAGAGGATGTTCAGCAGCCTCTCTGCCCGCTGCTTACTAGAAGCCAGTGACATCCCCACCCCTACTCCAGTGCTCAAAATGCAGAATATCTCTGGACATTGTCAGATGTGCTGAAAGTGGTCAGAGTGGAGCGGGTGAGCCACGTCTCCCCTGGTTGAGACCCACTATCATTGATGAAAAGTGAGCTTTGTAGACAGGTGAGAGGATCCTGGAGCTACATATGCAGAACTGCAACTGAGGAATTTGGCTTCCGAAGAGTTAAGCAGTAAGTTTTCCCAGTAACAGGAATTGTTTTCTAGGATCACAACCGGCAGAGGTAGTGGGAGAGCTGGTAGTACGGAACCATTCCCGACAAACCCATCCAAGCAGTTGAGTCGTGAAGTTGGTGGATAGTACTGTCTTTCTGTAAACGTAGGACTTCCTCATCCCAAACTTACTATGTGGTTATCTTGAAGGTATTTTGGTGAAAAAAAAATATTGTGTGGTTTTTTTCCTTTAAATCAAATTCTAACAATTTCTCAACTTGTTCATTGAAATACTTAGTCATAGAATCAGAATACTCCAGTGGTGCTTAATGGGCAATAAATGCATGAAATAATTGCACTCATTGCACAGTTCGTTGATTATTTCATGCTGTTATAACCTCACTGTTTCCACTCGCAGATGAGTCGTTTTAGGATTGTTGCATATACCTTGAGTGTCAGATTTTAAAGATCCTGCTCTCCCTTTAAAAACATAATGTTATGAATCTCCACCCTTCGGGATGGTTTCCCTAATCAGCAGAATTTCCTTCTCAAATAAATGTGAATTCCTGCCACAAAAAAGAGACCTGCTGGGACCTCCTGCCGAAGTCACTGACATACTGTATTTAAGTCTGCCTATTAGTGATAGAGCAAATTAGAAGAATGATTTGAGCCCAGTATCAGCACGATCTCTTTCTTTCTGGCTCTTTCTGGTGAGCTTAGAAACTGTTACCTTAGCTGGGTGGGAAGATGGGGAGATGACAGGTTGAGACCAACTTACGTGTGTCAGTCACGATTTCCACCTGAAACAATAGCACCTGTGCGTCTCTCCATTAGGAGAAATTCTTGCGGTGTCTGGGTCACAGTCACATCGGTCATCTCTTGACACACAGTGATAATGTTGTTTTTTCTGTATCACCATAAACCTTCCTAATGCCATTCCCACAGTGTGTCTGCCCTACGCAAGGTCCTGGAGGCAGAGCATGCTCACACATTTCACATAGTCTGAGGGTCCATGAACCACTGTTGATGTGGAAAATATTTGTGCTCATTTAAATACAGGTGCTGGAAGCAATAAATGGTCCTGTGTTTAAAAATTAGTGAAATCTGGCATTAAGAAGCTCATTACTTCTGCTTCCAGAAGCACCAGGCCAAAGCTCTCTAAAAAACAGGGCTTAATTCAAAGTTGTTCAGCTTTGTGAAGTTGAATCTTTTCAGGCACTAATGTCAGATACTAATTGTGTCTAAAGCACTGTTTGTCAGAGTGTGTAGTCGGGGAGCTTTTTGTCCCCAGCCTGTAATGAGATGCAGAGATTGAGAATTAGCTTTTAGAGATATTTATAGTAATATAGTAATTTTTGCTCTGAAGAATCAGATAATGAAAGAATTTGAGCTCATAGCTTATGCGTTACTTTTCTCTTGTCCATTTTTTTCTAGCATTTCACTTTTATTTGTGAAAGATTACTGTATTGTGGGTATGAGATAATTACAATATTTACATAGCATTTTATATCTGTTGCATTTTATAGAAGTATCAGCTTATGATAGTCAAAATATTAATATTTGGTGCCTTGGCACATTTGACTATTTCATAGAACTTACTTAAAAAGTAGGTCAATCAGAATTGATAAAAGTCTGATAATATTTTGAAAGAAATTCTCTTTTTTATCCTTGCCACTTGAAGTGCAAACAATAAATATACAAAATGTTGCCAACAAGTATTCATGGAAGAATCTCACTCATCCTTTTATGTTCAATAACAGTATTTAATTAAATTTAACTTGACTCATTTTAATTCTTTAGCCAATGAGTTTGTGTGTTCATATATGATTTCCTATTGAATTATATTGAACATTTTTCTAAGTGAAAATGTAGTGTAAAATATAGTTTAACATTTTCTGAATACTTTAGGATCATTGTTATAAAGGTCATATACTTCTGTCCTATGGTGTAATACTCTTTGCTTCTTAGGGTTTTCTGTTTTTGGTTTTGGTTTAACTGTGTATTTTCTTGGGAGATGGTTTGCATGATTGCTAATAACTAGCTTGCTCACATGAGACAGATGGAGATTTGACCCTTATCTCTGATACTGTTCTCTCTGTGGTCCTTCACAAATTTGAACCTTGGTCTGATCTGTTCAGCTACAAATGGAAATGAAAATACCTCTCTAAAGAGGTAGACTACACCCTAGATATTGAAACACTTGGTATAGTTTATAGCCCTAGCTGACATTTATTGAGTATTTATACATTCCGTTAGGTTGATATAAGAGTACAGTACAGTCAGGTTTTTGCTGTGTATCAGCAGCTCCCACACGCCAGGATAACAGAGCACCCCATCACTCCAGAAGACCCCTTCCTTTGTGGTCGGTAACCCCAACTGTGACTTAGTGCCATCGGTTAGTTTTTGTTTGCCTTTGAACTTCATATATGTAGAATCATTCAGCATAAGTCTTGGAGAGCCTGAGCTGACTTTTTAAAGCCGGAATGTCTGTGAGGTTCACCCGTGTGTGGCAGGCATCCGTAGTTCATCCTTGTTTATGTAACCCAGAATTGGTTATATAGCATTGTCTTGGTTACTCTTCTCTTCTTGCTGAGACAAAATACCTGTCACCCAAAATTAAGGAAGGAAAGGTTTATTTAGCTCACGGTTTGTGGAGGTGTCAGTCTGTAATCAGCTGGCTCCAAGGCAGGGTGGCAGGGCACAGGGGCAACACTTCAAGGTTGCACAAGGCAGCAAAAGCAGCAAGAGCAAAAAGGGTGGGAGAACAAGCCTCTTTCCCTCCCTTCTATTGTAAGCAGGCTACCCGCACCCAGGGGGCCTGTAGCACTCATATAATCTCCCTGCCCTCCTCTTGTACAGGCTCAGGATGGATACAAGGTAAGGACCCTGGCCCCCTGCTCACTTAGTTAACCTTCTAAACTTCTCAAATTGACACAGTGAACAACATCCCAGAGCAGTCTTTTCACCCCGGGATGTAGACCGGCAGAGTCACTTAGCCAAGCCTCTACACTACTCAAGTTGACACAATGTATCAGCCATAACAAGCGTGCTATTCTGTGCATATACCAGGGTTTGTCTGATGTTCTTTCAGTGACTATTTGGGTTATGTTTCCGTGCAGCTCAGGGCTAAGGTGAATATAAGCTCTTATGAAAGCTGCTATTTGACGTGATTCTCTAGTTTCCAAGCAGTACCCCTTTATGAGTCTCATCTGTTTTTCCAAGTCTTTAAGTGATGTTAGGAGCAAAGTGTTTCCCCTCACAAAGACTGAAATTCAGGTTCAGAGCTGCTCTTCTGTGTATTAAGAAGGCTGCCGGCTTGCCCGGGAGAGCGGGGTGTAGGTGTGTGTACAGGTGGAGGTGTTCAGGGAACAAGCATGATGAGGAAAGACAAGAGCTCATCATCTGATATGTGAAGCAGGTTGTGCAAAACGTGTGGGCCACATTGTCACCAAGACTGAGTCAGCACACCTTTAAGGGCAAGGAGAGGAACTGTCAGTAGCTTGAGAGGAAATAACTAGCTGTTAAGGGAGGAGATACGGCTCAAGTCCCTGGGATGCAGTTTGAGACTTTACTAATACGTTGACGATTTGGATTTAGTTTGGTTCAAATTATTTTCTTGTCTTAGTTTTTCTGTCTAAAAATTTTCTTTATTCCATGAAAATTTTCTTTATTCTACAAAACAAAGTGTTTATTCTATCATTCAGTGGTCTATAAACTTGAGCATATCTCACAGTCCCCAGGAGGGCCTCTGGCCTCGCAGATGACCTGGTTCTACCCCTAGAACTTGTGATTGAGTAGGAAGGAACGGCCGTGGGAATGTGTATCTGTCAAGTTGGCATGAACCCACACCCAAGCACTGCTTCTGCAGGCCATTCTGATGTTCTTCTTTCTGAATATCGCCAGTTAGCTGTTGGTAAAATTCTTAATTTCTGCACTGTATAGAGAGACCTGTTTTAACTCTTACAAGGGACACTGTTATACTCAGGACCTTCAAGAGCCTATGTTTTGAGTCAAACCCTCATCTGTCTGATGTCAGCAAGCCCTCTATTTTCTTTTTTTTTTTGTTTTTTTTTCCAGTATGAGGAATCGAACTCACCACCTTGCGCTTGCCAGACGGGCGCTGTGCCGCTGAGCTAAATCCCCACCCCAAGCCCTCTATTTTCAGTGCATTGGGAGTGGTTGTTTTTGTTTTTGTTTTTTTTTTTTTTTGAGACAGGGACTCACTATGTAGTTCAGCTATTTGACGTGATTCTCTAGTTTCCAAGCAGTACCCTTTATGAGTCTCATCTGTTTTTCCAAGTCTTTAAGTGATGTTAGGAGCAAAGTGTTTCCCTTGAACTCACAGCAATCCTCTTGAACTCACAGCAATCCTCTTGCTTCAAGAGCTGGCCTAAGAAGCATGTGCCACCACACCTGGCTACCAAGCCCTTTTGAGGCTAACATGAGTCAATAATTCTAACCCCTTCAATCAATAATATCTAAAGCTACTTTCCTCATTGTTTCTATAATCAGTAGTTTCAACCCTTAGGGTTTTGCAAGAATTAAAAGTTAATGTGCAGTTCAGTTTCTCAGGTAAGACGTCTGTGTGTGAAAACCCAACTAAAGTGGGCAGTTAAGGATGGCTCTGTTCTCTGCCTTGTTCCACCTCCTACCCCAAAGAGAACTACTCTGGTGGGGACAGAGTTCGGCCTGCCTAGGAGGATGATTATCAAATTTGTTTTTATGTTGTCTAAATCCAAGATATTTTATCTTGCAATAGCTCAGGGTAGCTGAAAAAGAGAAGGAAGTAGGAACAGGGAATCTCTTATTTCTCTGTGTAAAACCTTCCCTGATAGAAAGATTTGCAGTGAGATTACTGTGGATGTTGATGCAATGTTTGGGTGGAGTTGTCTGTTAGCCAATTAAAGCACTTGCTCAAGAGCACAGTGCTTCTACCAGAGGTAGTGCATGCCTTCATTCCTGTGGCCGTATTGTCCCTTAAGCAGAAAGAAGTTAACCAATTAAATTCTTAAAAGTCCTAGTGTGATAGAAGCAAAGTGTTTGGTGACCATGCACCTGGTATCTCACGTATTGCCTTGACTTCTCCATTTTATTTTCATACTTGGATGGAGATACATACAAACACATGCATATTTAGACACACATACACAGTTGTACGTAATAAAAAGGCAGTCTTTCTTAGAAGCAGTGTGATACAGTATTTTCCATTTTAAAGAAAAAATTCAAATGCCATGCTCTCAGGGAGCAGGGATAGATTCTATTGATTAGTTGAATAGGAGGAAGAGACCCAGTTTTCAAAGCCAGAATTGACCCAGAGAGATCATCTGAACAATCAAATGGATGTGTAGTTTTAAATTGTAGTCGGCTCTGTTTTGAGATAAGTGTACTACAGAAAATTAACTGAGTTATGTGTTTCAATACTCTTGGAATTTCAGAGATGCTGCCTATGGAAGTTGCAGCTTCTACATTACACTTCTTGACTGTTTCCATGCCGTAAAGAAGGTGAGTAACCCGAGGATGCACTCGGGGTGGTGTTGGACAACGGAGGAAGAGTCGGGGAGTCCAGGCTGTCTTCCCCAGAGAGGAGCTGTCTGTTAGAACTGCTCTCAAGCTGTGTGGGATTCAGGGGTATGCTATTCTCTAATTAAGGTTAGACTAGGATACCAAACTGGGACACAGTATACTCTGAATTTCTGGGTGGTTCTGTGCCTGAGTTGGGGGCAGTCAGTTAAAAGCAGGGGCCGGGGCCGGGATATAGCTCACTGGTGGAGCACATGCCTAGCCTGGTTCCATCTCCAGCACGGCCAGAGACCCCAAACCAAGATGAAATGAAGAGTGAGGGGACAGTAGGAGTCAGTTAAGTAATTAGTTGATGATCCAGAATTAGTTTTGAGAGTACTGTGATTTTAAAAAAAAGTAAAAAAATTACTGGTTTCTAGATTCTCTTCGGTTTGTGTATTTTACAGGTCTGATTCCTACCAATACTATTTACGGGACACATCTCAACATTGTAACTGAAGAGTTATGTGTTTCAGTAATGAAACACAGATTTACTTTGCTCAAGCTTTCAATTTCTAGTTCAACAAAAGAATTTAGAGGACTGGGGATATAGCGCAGTGGCACAGTGCCTGCCTGGCAAGTGCAAGGTCCTGAGTTCAACTCCCAGTACCAAAAACAGCAACAAAAAAAGAGTTTAGAGAGCCAATTAGCTTTTATATAAAGCTAAGTGGATCGCTAGTGCTTTGTCAAAACTGTGTTCGGGGCTGGGGGTATAGTTCAGCAGTAAAGCATGTACTTAGCATGAAGTGGGGCCCTGAATTTCACTCCAACAAAACAAAAAAGCTGTCTGCTTGTGCATAACTCCAGGTGTTACGACCTCGTGTGCACACGCGTGTATGGCAGGGGATTCCCCGTCATATCGACCTGGGCGTGTGTCCCATAGCAGGCCCTGGTCTCAGTGGTGCTCAGTGCCCCCTTAGGTGTATTTTTTGAATGTCAGGACAGCACCAGAAGCCAGAACTGCCAAGCAGTAGCTCACGGATCAGAGAGAACTTCCACAGTAGCTCAAGTTTTATGTGAGTTGTTTTCTCAGAGGCCAAAGGAATGCAGGCTTCTTCCTGGTGTAATGAAACATAGTGGCTTTCTGGGAAATTTGACGGAAATTGTGTCTTCAGATGAGAAGGCTACTTGGCGGTCATATTCGGACCCCAGCGAGTGTCCCTCTCTTCCTGCACCGGGTGATGAAGGGCGGGGCTGTCCTGTGCTCAGATGGCATAGGCCTGTGGGGCCCGAGCTGCTGGTGTGGTTACTGCCAGCTCTGGGGCAGCACTGTCAGGCCTCGCATAGGCAGGGTGTGGGCCCAGGTGGATACTAGGAGAAGGGACAGCAGGGGTAAATGGCAGCTTCCGGGTGCCATGCAGTCACTGCCAGGCGGGCCCCGGTGTGCTACCACAAGCAGGCACATTCGTCTTTAAAGAGCAAAGTTCAGAGGCTCAGAAAATGCCCCCTGTAACATTGTATAACAGATAACAGTGTTGCTTACTGACCTTTTTTTAAAAAAAAAATCTGGGATTGCACTCCAAAGTCCTTTCAGCTGTTACGCTAGATCAGGATTGTATTACTGTACTATACTACATTTGGTTTTATTCAAGGGTTAACAGCTTCTGCATTTTACTTAGAACATTTTTTTTTTTTTTGTGGCAGATTTTGAATATTATTGCATTTATCAGTGTGATTATATCTTAGTTTTAGGGCTATTTCTAGTAGGATCATCTTATGAAATTGAAAGAAAATTTCTGAATTCCCTATAAACTTTTTTATTCTGTTATTCTGGCACTGGGGATGGAAGCCAGGACATTGTGGACACTGTGACTCTTCCACTAAGGCCGTGAACTGTGTTAGAATGTCTCTCTGCTGGGAACATTGCTGGTACAAATATCATGAAAGATACTAAGTTTAAGGAAAGGAAATTTAGCCTGGATTAGATCATGGAATTATTACTTAAATACACTAGTCTTTCCATCCTTGGCTTCATTTTCTGCCATTGACTGCAGTCAATTTTCCAAAATACTAAGTGGAAAATTCCAGAAATAAATTCATACATTTTAAATAACTTTTAGTACAGTCGATTGTTATAAACATTCTATTTTAGTATTGGTGGTTGTTAATCTCTCTGTGCCTCAGTTTTAAATTAAACCTTTTGACAGGTCTGTGTGTACAGGAAAAAACTCTAGTGTACACAGTGTCCTCACTGTGTATCACTTACTGTGATTGTAAGTATCCCTGGGCGATCTTGAAATAGTTCCCCACAGAGGGGGAAATGACTCTCAACGTGTTTTGTAAAATGACGACTGTTTGGTTGGTATTCTGGCCTTCCCATTTTGTGTTCATATTTTGGGATTTAAATTTAAAAACTGGGTTTGTAAGAGTGACCCCTTCTGCACCTGCAGCCCCTTGCTGATCAACAATTCTTGCTTCTGTCCTGTGAGGCTCAGTGGGCAGAAGGACACTGCCCAGTGGCTACCCGCTCTCTTTTCATCGTTGCCTCAAAATCAGACACTGCTTATTTTGCTTAGTGAGGTCACAGGATAGAACAGAAAATTTATTTTCTCGTGGAAAAAATAGTGGGTTTCCTTCCTGAAAAATTTAAATTTTAGCATTATGTCGCATTAATCTCTTAATTTAGGGAGAGACTGTTCATAAGAATTTGTAAGTGAAGGTTTTGTGGGCTTGGGTTGAGCTAAAGCAGCCTATGGTTTTTTCCCTCATTAATATTTATTTTTAGAGACCATTGGAGTCTGCATTATATTTGAATCCTAAACTTCTCTGTCTTGTACTACAGATGGTGTGATGTAATAGTTATTGGGATTACTTTGATGGCATGCTTATCTTACTTTGCATGGATAAGATGACCAGCAAATGATAGTTTAAAATTAGATTTCATTATGCAGTGTTACAACCAATCTCCAGATAATAGAAGCTTGTGAAAGATACAGCTTTACTTCCTTTGAAACTGTTGAATGGAAAGTGATCTAAATGTAATAATACTTTTCTCGGGTACTTCCTGATATTTAGTATTAGGAAATTGTGTCCTTATTTGTATCTTTCTTCTTACAAGCTTTCTTTTGGATTTTAGGCAATGCAGTATGGCTTCTTTAATTTCAACACATTTAACCTTGATGAATATGAACACTACGAAGTAAGTTTCCAAGGATAATGTTTTTAATTCTTCCAGCTTAATTGAGGTATAATTGACAAATAAGTATTGTCTACATTTAAGGTATACAGAATAATGTCTAATACCCGTCTATCTCTTGAAATGTTTACCACAATCAATCTAATTAACACATCTGTGATCTCACTTAGTTTCCTTTGTATGTATTTGCTGAGAACATTTAGATCTATTCTCAGCAGATTTCAGGTGCACAGTATTTACCTTAGATCTCCAGAACTTACTCATGGTATAACTCAGTTTGTGATTTGACCAAAATTTCCCTACGCGTTAGCGTTTTGTTGCTGTGACAGAGTACTTGACAAACAACTTACAGAGAGGAAAGGTTTATTTCGGCTCACTTTTTCAGAAATTTTGGTCAGTGGTCAGCTTGGCCCACTATGCTGCCGTGAGGCCTTTGGTGAGGCGGACATCATGGGGAGCATGTGGTGGGGCAGCGCTGCTCCCCTCCTGGCAATAAGGAAGCAGAGAAAGGAGGAAGGAGCCTGGGACAAAGTAACGCCTCTGAAGGGCATTGCTGTAGTCAGCTACTTCCTTCAACTAAGCACCACATCCTAAACTTTCCAGCACTTTGCAGTAGCCTGTGAAGAATCCATTCCATAAACGAATTCCCCCATTGATGAGGTCCGAGTCCCAGTCTGCTCCTGAAGGCCTCACCTGTGAACACCATTGCACTGGGGACCAGACCTTCAGCATAGGAGCTTTAGGGAACAGTTAAGATCCAAACTGTAACACCCCATTTTCTCACTCTGTTTTAACTTATTATTTTTGCTTGCTGAAGTGAAGGTATTGTTTTTAAAGCAGTTTAGATGTGCTTACAGAAAAGACTTCAAGTCTTCTTCCCTTTGGCCCCACTCCTGGGGCCTAATTTTTGTTCTTGTTTTTTGAGGCAGGGTCTCACTGCAGTTAAGGCTGGCCTTGAACTCACTGAATAACCCTCATTGGCCTCAAACTTGCAGCGATCCTCTTGTCTCAGCCTCCTTAGCGCTGAGATTACAAGTGCTCCCTGCCCCCACACCCAGCCGCAGTCCTAATTCTTAGTGAAGATTTCTACATTTTGATTAACCTGTGCATTTTTCACAATGTTTACTGAAAGTTTTTTTTTTTAGTATTGTTGAATTTTGTACACTGAAGTGAAGCTTATAAAAGGGTGTAATAAAATGAATGGTCATTATCCAGATGCTTGCTTCAAATTTATCATGATCTTTTGTTTGTGTTAAGTCAGGACACTTCTGTTGCAAGTTACTGAAAGTAAACACAAATGGCTTAAATACAAGAGGAAAAATCATACTGTGTCAAAAACTAAAAATCCAGGAGCAGATGGGCTGTCAAGTGTGACACCAATCCAGGAAAGCTAGTTCCTTTCTCAGGCCGGCCCTTGCGGCTGTGATAGAGATAACTTCTGCAGCTTTAATCCACCACTTTAGCACACTCCATGGGAAAGAGAAGCCAGCTCCAGCAGAAGACCTGTGAATGCCCCTCATTGCCCTGACACAAACCATGTGCTAATGTCTGAACCAGCCTGTATTCTGCAAGAAGAGTGTGAGTTCTTCTAGCCAGACTTAATTCAGAGCTGGAGGCCTGAGCTGAGGATCCTCTGAAACTCTCCAGACAAAATAAGTAAAAGGTGGGGCACAGCAGAGTCCAGGGAGGCAAAACCTTACATATTGTCTACATTTTAACTAATTTTTATCTTTATATTATTGTTATTATTATTATTATTATTATGGTGGTGGTGGTATTGGGAATCAAACTCAGGGCCTTGGCAGTGAACTATAATACCAGCTCTTTTAAAATTTTTCATTTTGAGACCCGGTCTTACCAAGTTGCCCAGGCTAGACTTGAACTTGCGATCCTCCTTCCTCAGCCACAGCCACACCAAGCTGACAGTATATTTTTTAAAAAGAAGTAATTTGAGTCCAAGGCTACATCCCCCCTATGGCCTTTTCCAAGCAGGAATACTTGTAGCTCCTGGCTTTATACCCTGCTGTACTTATTCTGAGCATGTTTCTTCAAGTAGTGAGAGGTAGTTCCTCAGACAGTTCTTCATGTGGTGGTATCCTGAGTCTTCAGTAACTTTTTTCACAATTTCCAAAGTAGCTCTTATTGAAAACTTTTAAGTGTAATGGAACTGTTTTACTGATAAATTGGGTGAATAATGGTGGTCTGTTATTACTACGATCTAAAGGTGTTAAAACATAGGCTAGGCATTGCTAGGGCAAACCCTGTCTTTTCTATAATAGCAATCTATTTCTTTTCACTATTTTTTTTTTGGTCCTGGGAATCGAACTCAGGACCTTGCACTTGCTAGGCAGGCGCTTAGGCCACTGAGCTATATCCCTGGCCCAGCAATCTATTTCTAGAGTACATTTAACTACCACCCTAAACTGTTGAGTATAACTAAATCATTGAACCCTTTTTTTGTGCTTGTCTCTATAAAATTAAGTGTTTTATCTATTTATGCCCAAGGTTGCAATTTTTAAATTTTTTGTATGAAATTCCTATATGCTACCTAGAAAAATTCAAGGAACAAGAGTTTGAAGAGAAAAATTTTTAATATGTTCCATTGTTATGCTGTTCCAAAAATAGAACACTATGCATAAAAGGATTAAAGCAGATTTTCTTTTTGTAAGCAAAATACTAAAAACACCAGCTGCCTTTAAAAGCTCAATGACGGCTTACATGTTACTGAGGAGCAATAAAGGCACTCAATAGCTTTTTTCTTGCCACCAAGAACTAGAGGTCTGGTGCTGCAGTGTGTCAAGGTCATAACCCACAGACATGGTTACAAACTCCAGGGAACTATTTAGGTAGCCACAGACCAGATCTGTTGAATCTATACAGTGTGTTTAGAAATTTGAGATTAGTGTCGTGCATTGATTCCATCTACCTTGGTATTTTTTCTGTTTCAACATCTCTGAATATAGGATGCATCTCAGCAGTCTGTAATGCTAGGAGTTGAAAGAAAGCTGCTTGTTACCAACATCTAATCACAGATTTCTTGTTAAGAACTCCAGATTCCTGGTTTCACTTCAAAATCAGATCATCTGGCAGCATTCGTTCTCATTCCTGCCTAGACCTCTTACTGTGGAACACAGGCTCACCAGTTCCTCCTGTTGTGAATAATTAAGTGAACAGGTTTTGGATTACCTGATTGGCTCCTTGTAGATAGATATTCAAGAAACTGTTATTTCTTTCTTATTTTTAGGTTCACATATAAACACACACCAATTGCTAAGGTAATTTATCTTTTTTTTTTTGGTGGTACTAGAGGTTAAATCCAGGGCTTTTGCCCTGAGTTGCATCCCCACACCCTACCCCCATTTTTAAAAATTTTTGAGACATAATCTTATTAAGTTGCCCAGGTTGGGTTGAACTTGTGACCCTCCTACCTTAGCCTCCCAGAGTACCAGGACTACAGGCCTATGCTGCTACACCTAGCTTTTTTTAAAAAATCATCTCTAGTTCTTTCTTCCTTCACTCTCAGGTGTCTTCCCTACAACTCTTGCTTAAAAGTCTGTTACCTACCTTGTTAAGAGCTGTGTCTTAATTATTATGAAATATGCATTATAGTTAGGTGATAATAATTAAAATAGGACTCATTCCAAAGAACTTAGTCGTGGGAAGTAGCATGTTTTAGATACTAGTTGTATTTGTGTGGGGTTTTTTATGCAAATACTTTGTGACCATATTATCCTTACAATTTTGAATTTTCTGATGTGTTGATGAAAGTATTTTGGCTGACCTTCTTATGAAATAGGGAAATGATGGAAAGATGTGTTTCTGTGAATAGTAAGATACTCCGAAGCTAGGAACCTAGATTTTTCCCCCCTCCTCTTATTCAAGCAGGAAAAATTTCCATTTGAAAGGAATTAGTCATTCAAGAAAACTAGAGTTTCTAGGCTCCTTTTACTAGAAAAGTTTGCTTTCTATAGGAATTAATTTTCTATAGTGAGAATTTATTCAAGCAAAATATCCAAAGTACTTCAGATTTAATAACCACTAAGTACATAGTGTATTTTTTGTGGTGCCAGTCACCACTGCTTTTGAAGGGCTTGTGACTACCCTAGCAAGAAACACTGTGAAAACAAGGTAACTAGACCCCGGAGAAGCCAGCAATTCCATGGGTATATTCAGAGCAGGGAGAATTACTCATTTCTGTCTTATGGTCCTTAATACACAGTTAATATGCAAAAGCAAATAGATTGGAAGTTCATCAGAGACTTACTATTAAGAATGGTGGTAGAGAGAAAATTCAGTCCAGAAATGAATTTTGCTGGTCTTTCTGTGCAGAAAGCAGAAAATGGAGATTTAAATTGGATAATACCAGACCAGTTTCTTGCCTTCTGTGGACCCCATTCAAGATCCAGACTTGAAAGTGGTATGTAAGTGGGACCAATACGGTTTTGTTATTGAGAGTACCCATTCTGTGTTTTCTGTCAAGAATTAAAGTAAGTTTGACTTAAGTTTTTACTTTTTAAGTATATGTGTTCGTTTGTAGATACAATTCTGCCTGGATTTTAACTTTTGCTTTTTATAATTACAATAAAATTGGTATTCAACCCTCCCACCAGTCCAGATACCATATCTACCCTATTACAGGTGAAACTCCACTGTTTTCTTTCTGCGTTTTTTTTTTTTTGGTTTTTCTCGGGTACCGGGAACCGAACTCACGACCTTGCGCTTGCCAGGCAGGCACTTTGCCGCTGAGCTAAATCCCCAGCCCCTCTTTCTGCGTTTTATAAGATCTGATGCCTTTTTTTTTTTTTTTTTTTAATGTAGGTTACCACCAACATTCTCCGGAGACTTATATTCCATATTTTAAGAGTAACAATGTTACTACCATTATTCGTCTGAATAAAAGGATGTATGATGCTAAGCGCTTTACAGATGCTGGTTTCGATCACCATGATCTTTTCTTTGCGGATGGTAGTGCCCCAACAGAATCCATTGTCAAAGAGTTCCTGGATATTTGTGAGAATGCTGAAGGTGCCATTGCAGTACATTGTAAAGGTATGTTTCCAGGGCCAGCTGGAGAGTGGTGTCTGTGTGTGAATATTGGGTAGAGCACTTCACACACATTTAGATGGTATACTGGGACACACAGAGCTGCCTTTTTTTTTTTTTAAAGATGCTTTAAAAATCCTCAATGAAGGGGCTGGGGATTTTTAGCTCAGTGGCACAGTGCCTGCCTGGCAAGCATGAAGTCATGAGTTCAGTTCCTGGTACAAAAAATAAATTAATTAATTAGTTGATTAAAATCCTGAATCCCTATGAAGTATATAATGAATTATTTTATGATGAACTTTAGAAAGGCTTATTACGTTGAAATACATTCATGTTTTACCAAATACTGTGCTGTATCTGCTATGTGCCTATCATATCTGTATGTTGTATGATGAGTTCTGGCATCATCAGGATATAGAGTAGACCCAGTAGAGCTTGTCTGCATGGCATGGCCATGTTTTCTATAGTTATAACAGAGCCTGGTTCTTAATAAATATTTTTTGAATAAATGAGTGGCTTTACAGTAATACATTGTACAGTATTCTAGGATTTAACATTTATCTTGTTAAATAATAAATTAATAAGGAATATAATTATTACTAAGAACAGTACAGCATTCGAAGGGAAAAAAAAAAAAACTAGCCAACCCTTACCACCAGAATTACAACAAATGGCCAGTTTTCTTTGAAAACTTACAAGGGAGGCAAAGAAACATGAAAGTAGCCTATTCAATGGGAAAAATCAATCAGCAAACATTGTCCCTGAGAAAAGCCAGATGGTGGATTTACTTACAAAGAGTGAAAGCAATTTTATTAAATAAGTTCAGAGTAAAAAGAAGGTGGAAGAAATCAAGAATGTATGAACAAAATGGAAATACGAATTTTAAATGACAGAAAAAATAAAAGCAAAGAAAGAAATTCTGCAAAGGAAGTGTATAATAAAGTTTACTTCAGGAATTCAGAAACAAATTTAGGTAGGTGAATCAGTGATTGTAAAGGTAGAACTATTAAAAAACCAAGTCTGGGGCTGGGGATATAGCTCAGCAGCACAAGCACCTCCTTGGCGAGCATGAAGTCCTGAGTTCAATTCCCAGTACCAAAAAAACCCCACCAAAAACCAAGTCTGAGAAACAGAAAGAGAAAAAAGAAACAAAATTAACAGAATTTAAGGACTTTTGGGATACAGTTAGGCAAATTATGGATGTTGGGAATTCCAGAAGTAAAAGAAAGAAGCAGAGATTGTTTGCTTGAACACTTCCCAAATTTGATGCAAGACTTGAATGTAAATAAATATCCAAGAAGCTGAACAACCTCTGAACAAGACAAACTCAAAAATGCACGTGAAGACACATTGTAATCCAACTGTTTAAACCCAGTGACAAGGAGAGCCTCTGCAAAGCAGCAAGGGAAAAATGACATAGATGCATGAAAATTGTCAGCAGATTGCTCCTCAGAAGCAACAGAGACCAGGGGCAGTGAGTTGATATAGGCAAAGTGATGAAGGTGGAGGAGGCACACCCTATTGACCAAGACTAAGTTAGCCTGAAAAACTCCCTCAAAAATAGCCAGGTGTGGTGGCACACACTTGTAATCCATGACTCTGGGAAGCTAACGCAGGAGAATCACAAGTTCAAGCCCAGCCTGGATATCTTAGTGACTTAGCAAGACCCTGTCTCAAAATCAAAACTAAAAAGTGCTGTGTGTAGTTCAGTACAGAGCCCCAGTACCAAAGAAGAGATTAACAGCTTTGCGCAGTGGCAGTATTGTAGCCAATGAGGTTTATCTGAGGCACGATTATTGCTAATTGAAAACCAGAGAGGGGATTAAAATATTCACAAATAATCAAAATGCTAAGGCAATTTTTTCCTAGTAGACCTATAGTAGAAGAAATGCCGGAAGGTATCTTTTAGGTAGAAATTAATGGACATTGGACAGCAACTTGAAGCTATATGTTAGGGTTTGTGTCTGGATGTCCCTGCAAAGCCTCACACAGTCATGGGGCAGCTTTTCAGGGGTGGCTGAATCTCAAGTTTGTGATTAGTTCATTGTCTAGTGCTGGGATTTGTGTGGTTGTGGGTACTACACATGCCCTAGGGCAGGTAGCCTAAATACAGTATAAGGGAAGGAAAGAGGCTTGCTTCTCCCTTTTTTGGCTCTTGCTGCTTTTGCTGTCTTCTGCCACCATGAACTGTTGCCCCTCTGCCATGCCACCCTGCCTTGGAGCCAGCTGATTATGGACTGAAACCTCTACAAACTGTGAGCTAAATAAACTTTTCCCTCTTTAACTTTGAGTGTTGGGTATTTTGTCTCAGCAACCAGAGAAAAGTAATTCAGATATCATATGAAGAAATAAATATCTCTGACAAAGGAAAATACATGGAAAGTTGTAAATGCTGGTCCTATATTATTGTAACCTAAGATAATTTGTAAAACATTGTCATTATTATAACAAATATTGTAACTTAGAGATAAAAATTATAAGAACCAAAATACTTTAGGGTTACTTGTTCAAAAAAATTAACAAAAATAAACAAAAATTAAAAAAATTAACATGAACCTTGAACTAGATGAAAAAAAAAGAGAAAACCCTCAAATTACTAAAATCAGAAATAATGGGACATTGTTAATCAGTCTATAGAAAAAAAAGGACAATTAGAGAGTATTATGATTTATTGTAGGAGAACAAATTGTTTCAGCTAAGTAAAATGGACAAATTCTTACAAATACTACATCCACTAACACAGACTCATGATGAAATAGAACATCTGTATAGATCAGTGATGTGAACCTTTTAGAGCTTTCAATAACAGCCTGCTGTGGCTTGTGCCATAGGTTTACCACCACTGGTATAGGCCCTTAAATGGTAAAGAAATTGAGTCAGTAATGAAAAATTGACTGACAAGGAAAAACTCTGGACTCCAAAGATGCTATAAAATGGAAAACTGTAAAGTTATTCCGCATCAGCCATCTTAGGGAAAAACTAATCACAGCGACAGTAACATTTCACACCCATTGGGGCAGTGGCCTTTAGCAGAACAAAATACAACAGAAAACAAAGCAGTGTTGAGAGGATGTCATGAGATTGGAACCCTTGTGTAATGCTGATGGGAATATAAAATGGTGTAGCTGCTGTGGAAAGTACGTGGCAGGTACTCAGAAAATTAATACATGCCTCACTTATCTGTATGTCAAATTCTTTTTCCCTGCCAGGGAAGTTTTGTGAACAGTTTTTTTTTTTTTTTTTTTTTTTTTTTTTTTTTTTAATATCATTTGTGCTATCTCCTGCTTTTTCATTGACTCCAATCAGTCTTACGATATTTCTTCTTTGCATCATCTAGCAACTGCTGGATTGATTTCTTGTGATCCCTTCCTATTTTTAAGAAATCATTTTATGATCACTAACTGTAAGCCTGTTTTCTATATCTGAGATTCTTTGCTCACATTGGCTCAGTCTGCTACAGATACTTTTGTTTTGTTTTTGTTTTTTTGTTTTTTCTTCCGGTACCAGGAATCGAACTCATGACCTTGAGCTTGCCAGGCAGGCGCTTTGCCGCTGAGCTAAATCCCCAGCCCCTGCTACAGATACTTTCAATGGAATTTTTAGTCTCCTGTATATCTGCTTGCATTTTGTTTTATGGATTCCATTCCTTTCCTATGTTGGGCATTCATGGTTTCCATCATTTTCTTAAGCTCCTCTATCTACTGTAGAGTCACTGAGCAGGTTTTTCATTGTGGTCACCATCTCTGCAGTTATCTGAGAAATTATTTCTGATTTGATTTTTTCTATAGCCTCATTCATTTGCTTTGTTGCCAGGTGGGTGGCTTTCAGATTGTCCCACCTCACAGTTCACCGAAGGCAAACTGGATGTTGGGGTTGCATCTTGTTTAAGTGTCTTCTCATTTTGTTTTCTTTTTTAAGTTTAATTCCTGGGTTGATACTTGTAAATTGCTTATGGCGAGTTGTTTTATTGCTAGTATTTAGAACCCTTAGGAAATGACTACTTCTCTGAGGTATCTTCCAGGTGTAGGTGGCTTTGGGGTTTTGAGTCTGTTGCAAGATCCTACCTCTTCAGTTTGTGGGGGATGAGAAGCTGCTGCCTGCTTGTCCCAGCCTCTCATTTTTTCGCATTGGCCCACAGTGTTTTCTATGACCCTTAGTCAGTCTCAGTCTTGGAATACCAGGAAGAACAGTTGGTTAGACCCATTATGTCACTTTGGCTAAAGTGGTACAGTCAGCAATAACAACGGCATCAAACACAGCCTAGAAAATGACAAACTGAGGTATTAATTTGCCACCTTTAACAATATGAACTAGATTTGTGGTTATATAACAAAATCTAACACAAATCAGAAAATTACATGCAGTAAATAAGACCTCAATATGCTGATCTTTACCCTCAGGGGAGACATTTTCGGGTTTAAGGGGAAAAATAGAGAAATAGAAGAAGAGGAAGGGATTAGAAGTAAGGCTGGAGGACAAAGGATGATCCCACAAACTTCAGGAAATTGCAAAAGACAGGAGAGAAAGAGAAGGAAGAAGTAACAGGAAGAACAGAATAACGACCACAGAGAAACTAGAAACAATGTTCACACTCATATAAAAACAAGATCAAACAATGAAGGAGAAAAAATAGGAGAGAAATAAAAGAAAATGTCCACTTGAAGGTTTGTGTCTGCCGTCACTGGTAGACAGTCTGGAGACAGAGTCCAGATGCGTGTTGGTTTATCCCAGGAAGCCAGCAGTAGCTTTATAGTGGGGTAGTGTGGGGTAGTGGGTAATCTCAGTGAACCTGCACCTTTATTTCCCCTGAAGTTCAGGCTGGTTTCTGGCCCTGAGTTTGAGACCAGACCAATTCAGCCTGAAGCCATCAGCGCACTCTCTGTGGGCTTGAACTCAGCTGGGAGCCGCTACATGGAGCCAGCAGCCGTTCTGAGTTCTGAGCTCGGTGGGCCCCTCCCCTGCAGGACATCCAGTCCTGCAGCACTCATCCCCAGCTAGTGCAGACCTCCACATCCACTGCTCCCCTCCACGGCTGCGTCTCTCTGTGGAGGCCTCCGGGGTCGCCAGCAGTCACCGTGTGTGTGCAGATTTGAATTACTCCTCTAGCACAGTGGGTCCTGTCTCAGGGAGAAGGTGCCTCCGGCTCCCTCTTCCTTCCTCGTTGAAGTTTCTCTCTTCACTCTCCCTGTGGGCTTCAGTTCTTGCTTCAGATCCTTCCTGGGTCCAGGGGACCCATTTTCTCCTTTCTCCCTCGAGTTGGTGTATTCCAGTGTCTGGACAGCAGCTGTCAGAGAGGTTCTTTCTCTGCTGCTCACCACTCCACCCTGCTGCTTACCACCCCGCCCTATTTTTTTTTTTTTAACAATTATATAGCTTTCACTTTGCAAAATGACATAGGTTCTCGAGGCGGATGGTGGTGATGTCTGCACAGCGGTGTGAATGCACTCAGTGCCGCTGAGCCGCACCTGTAAAAACAGCCACACTCATCCCCAGCCACCAGTTCTGAAGGAAAGCAGGTCGTTGAAGTCCTTGTCATAGCATTTGAAACAGCTTCCTTTGAAAATGTTAAGCTAAAAGAGAACATAGATAACTAAATGAACTCAGAAAAATCAGACATGCCAAAAATGCTAAGTTTATATGTCTGTCTTGCTCCTGTTTTAATTAAATAGTCATTTAGACAAAACCCGGCATTAACCATTTCTTTTTATTATTCGAAACTGTTGAGTTTATTCTTAGCTTGGTGCTTTTGCATCCGCCAGGGAACATTCGGCTGTACTTTGCTTTTTGCCGATAGCTGGGCAGGAGATACTGCATGGCCTCTAGTAGGTAGAGACAGGGATTCTGTTATCCACTGTACAGCATCAGTCACCTCTCAGCAAAGAACTGTGCAAACTGACGATCAATGAAAGGAGGATTTGGTAATGATGAGGTTTTTTTCTTTTCAGTTGCCCTTGCAATTGCCCTGCCGCCCCCTTGGTGTTCTTTCCAGAACTTGCCTGCCTTTTTCGTGGTAGGCTAGTATAGGGTAAACATTGTCTGAATCTTTAGTTTCTGATTCCTTTTTACTTACTGAGTCCTTTTTCAGTTCTTCTCTGTCCGTTTGCACATTACAGTAACCCATGAGGAGAAGCGAGGCTTTATCTTCTAAACTTTCTTTATAGATCTTTGCTAAATATCTAAGGTGTTACCACGCATGAATTCTGTCTTCCACAAAATACTAGAACACAAATCAGCCCATTTCTCTACCTCTTTATTACAAGCATTGCCTTTCCTCCAGTTTCCAGCAGTGCCTGAGATTGCGCCAGAATCACTTTTAATACCCATGCGGCTGGCAGCAGTCAGCAAGGCAGCCTGGACTTCTAACACGAGGCAGAGCCCTGCTAGGCTGTACGATTCCAACTCCAAAGTCACTTCCACGTGATGACATGTTCGTCACTACAGCACCCCTCTTCCCGGCCCACTGTGTATTGGTGAGCGTCCTGGAGCGATACAGAACGTCAGGCGTGTAATACGTGTGTGAGGGGCTGGGGACTCACGTGGTGTGGAGTCTCACGCGTCCCAGTGTGCGGTATGTGCTGGCTGCTGGATGCCCGGGAGAGCCCGTGGCACAGGCCCTTGGATTGGGCAGTCTGCAGGAGCAGCCCATCTTGCTCCAGGAGCCAGCCTTGATTGTTCCACGCAGGCCTTCATCCTACTGGATAGAGTCTGTTCACATTGTATTCACTAGTTCAGCTCTTCAGAGACTCTGAAGATGTCTTCCAAATTGACACAACACATAAAATTAACCATCTCAGGAGGACTTGAGAGTCTAGATAAGAGGAAGGGCGGACTCAGGAAGTGGAGAAGAGAGTGAGGGAGACGGAGGGTTGGGATGAACCTGAGTGGTGCAAGGCCCATTAGCCAACCTTCAGAAACATTTGATAGAGGCAGAACCATAGGAAGTCTTTTATTTTAAAAGTTCTTGCCCAGAAAGTTCTGGAATAGCCAGGGATATAGGTCAGTGGCACAAGCACTTGTCTGGCAAGCACAAGGTCCTGAGTTAGATTCCCCGTACCAAAAAAAGGAAAAAAGACTCTCGAATACTTGAGGCCAGGTGTCACTGGTTGGTTTGTTGTCCTAGCTGGCCTTGGTCGGACTGGCACCCTGATTGCCTGCTACATCATGAAGCACTACCGGATGACGGCAGCCGAGAGCATCGCCTGGGTCAGGATCTGTAGGCCCGGCTCAGTGATTGGGCCTCAGCAGCAGTTCCTGGTCATGTGAGTAGATGGAAGCCTTCGTAATTCCTGAGGGAACACGCGGTCCGCAGACTGCTGGGAAGGGGAATTTTCCAGTAACAACAGATAATATGGTAGGAAAAACTGCTTTTGTAACTTTCTCTCTGGAAAGCTGTATTTTGCTGTTGCTTAAATGCTCTAGGAAACAAGCGAGCCTCTGGCTGGAAGGTGACTATTTTCGTCAAAAGCTAAGGGGGCAGGAGAACGGACCCCACAGAACCGCCTTCTCCAGACTCCTCTCAGGTGTTGATGACATTTCAATAAATGGGGTCGAAAATGAAGACAGGCAGGAATCCGAACCGGTAATCGAACCGCCCCCATCGCGCTGTTGTCTTTGCTTTAAATGTTGTTGAGAACCTTGTAGGGCATGGAGAAAACTCTAGGTAAAAATAATAAAGCACATTTTGAGGGACTATCATGATAGTTTTTTATATTTATAACCTCCTCTGGGTAGCTTACTTACAAGGATTAAAACAAAGTTGTGTGTACAGAAAACGAAACGTTTTACTCCTTAAGCACAGTAGCAAATGGAAATCTAAAGTGAACTCTTCAGATGGAGATAGTTTTTCCTCTGTCCCCGTCCCTTTTTCTCATTTTCTAGAAGCTGACTTAGGGAACCACTGGTTCTCAAAGAGAGAACTCTTAAAAGATCAAGTCTTTAGAGAATAGCAGTACTGAAAGACGTGGGGGTGGTAGGTGGTTGGGGAGATTATAGAGAAAGAGTCTTTCCAGAACTGAGAATGCATTATTCTTCTTCACTGCCCTTATGTTTGTAAGGAGAGGGTGGTTGGGTTCTGGGTGTTTTGCACTGTGGCCTGGCGCTTGATTTGGAAAGGTGAGGAGTACTGAAGAGATCAGCAGACCGAAGTGTCTGTGTGAACGTGGGGTTAGGAAGCTGCTGCACCTCCTTTGTGAGGGAGCGGAGCTCGAATCACTGGCTCCGTGTTTTTTTACTTACACAGTTCAGTGATGACGACGAAGTCACTGGAGTCACGCAAGGTGATAGACTTCGAGCCCTGAAAAGCAGAAGACAATCAAAAACACACGCTATCCCCCTCGCGTGAGTCTGGTTTTCTTTGTCGTCTTTGGCCTTGTTTAATACAGCATCCCTTGCAAGCATTTCTTCCTGTGCGTTTTTCCCCAGAGCTGCCTGCCTGGTGCGCCACCCTGCAGTGATCATGTGCCTTAAAACCTCCCGGTGCTCGCCCAGGGAGCTCTCGGCCATTCAGCTACCTGGGTCCTCTATTGTAAACGCAGGAGCCAGGATAGGCAGCAGAGTGGTATTAGGACAGTCAGCGGTGATGTCCTCAAGAGAGTGACCGCAGATGTAGGTCTCAGAATCACAGGTTTGTTCGTGGCTGTTGTTTAAACTCACTGCCATCTCACATGTCGTCTTTGTGGAGATGGTGGAGTTTAGTCAGTTGTGACGTGGTGGCTTCATGTCACCATGTTGTTCGGGGGCAGCAGGAGTGTTTTCTAAACCATGTCCTTGTCTAGTTGTAGAGAATTATTTTCAAGTTCTAAAAGAAGGGTTAGCATCGGAACAGGAAATTTTATAGTTACTGAGCAGGCTTATGTCCATGTGTACTTTCATATTTATTTATTACTTATTCATTCATTTTTAACAGAAGACAATTTATTTGAGAAGAAAAGATGGAAAAGAAAGTGGATAGACGCTACTCTGAGGTGGGAGGGGCTTTAGAGCTGAAAACCCCCACATGTACTTTTTTTGGGGTGTGTGTGTGTGTGTGTGTGAGAGAGAGAGAGAGAGAGAGAGAGAGAGAGAGAGAGAGAGAGAGAGAGAGAGTTGGGTCTGACCACATGGAATGTGCAGGGTGGTAAGAGAAGTGTGGAGAATCACAACACACGGCTGTGGTACTTCAGTCCTAGGCCGTCCTCAGTAGGTGCAGAAGTCCTGCCCATGCCACTTGGATCCCTTCCTTTTGGTAACTCCCAGCCTTGGAGAATAGGTCGTTTTTATTTACAAAACTCTGTAGCAGCTTGTGGTGGTGTGCATACGTAATCGCAGGACTCTGGGAAGCTGAGGCAGTGTGATCTTAAGTTCAAGTCCAGCCCAGGCAGTTTAGAGACTCCCTGTCTCAGATTTAAAAGGGCCAGGAATGTAGCTTAGTGCAGAGGCCCCGGGTTTGATTTCCAGTACAGAGCAAAAAGCATAAACAATATTTGTATGTGGTAGAGAATTGATGATAAAACAAAATCATTTCTATTGGCAGAAAACAGGTTTTCTTTTTAATTAGGAGAGGTTTTTCATTAGTGTTTCTTCAAAATGAAACTGAATTAGAATTACACACAGGTGTGAGGGGCTTCCCTGGGAGCAGAGGATCTGGGGTCCTAATCTGAGTTCTGGGACTGACTTTCTGCCCTTAAGAATCCTACTTGCAGCTTAGTGGTGCTTTTATCAGTTAGATCCCTTTACAGATGGCACCTTAATATAATTTATTTTGTATAAATCTGAATATACTATATAATGTATTTTAAGTGCTATTTAAAAATTTCATGAAAAGTTTTATTAATGGTTCTTTTGATTCCAAAAATACTCTTCCGGAAACTAAGGTAGGGGAAGCCCTGGAGCTGCGCCTGTCAGACTTTGCATTGGAGCCTCGGGGAGTTTATTGAAGTGGAGCTCGGTACTGAGGGTTGGTGGGCCTGAGATTTCTGCATTTCTGTCAAACCTTCTTCCAGCTGCAGATGCTCCAGGCCCTGGGGCCACCCTTTGAACTGCACATCCTAGAAAATGGACAGTTTGGGGGCAGCTTTTAACCATACTCCGTTGGGCTTCCAGCAAACATCAGTTAGTCTTGTCCTATACCCTCAGGAATGTTTTCTCGAGTTCAAGTCACTGTGCTGATAGGTATGTGGTAATGTAGAAGAAAGCCAATGAAAAGAGGAGTTATGTACTTCTGGAACCTGCCAGTGACCCTAGGTCCTTCACTGCGCTGAGGTACAGGTTTTCTGGGAGGGAGGCCCCGAGAGCAGCTGGAGAGTGAGGCCTCACCCAGTGGTATAGGCACTTGCCTAGCAAGCACGGGGCCCTAGCTTCCATCCCCTGCGAGAACAAACCCTAGAAAAGCCCAGGGGAAGAAGGACCAATCTTTGTGTCATTTATTTTCTAGTTAGGCCGCACCTTACCCCCAAACAAGTAAACTGAAGCTGTGTTCTTGACCGTAATTCAGAACCAAGTAAGATCGTAAGAGTAACAACAGCAACCAAAAAAATAGGAAGAGGGAAAAGGAAGGAAGAAAGAGTCCACTACTGTCCATTCCTGTTTAATCTTAAAACAATGGAATCTCCTCCTTCCCTACATACATAGCTAGTAAACTCCTTGGCCACGTTTTTTTTGAGGCAATGTCTCGCTATATAGCTTAGGCTGGCCTTGAACTTGGAGAAGTCTTACTGCCACAGCTTCTGCCATACTGGGATTACAGGCATGTGCCACCGCAGCCAGCTAAACTTTTCTAACCTTGCAATTAGTGTATTAGTGTAAAGAGCCTGAGTTTCCCAAGAGAGTCACAGCCAGGCTCTTCTGGGCCTCAGAATTTTTGGTTTCAGCTCCTCTGCTTTCCCGAACCCTCTTTGCTGTATCTTTTAAGGCTCTAATTGGTAGCTTTTTTGGCCCTAAGAGAAGTTAACTGGAGGCTTCCTTTCCCAGCCAGACCTTTTGTTGGTATTTTAGAAGTAAAAGGCCCCTGAGAGTGTTTGATAGCAGCTTGAGTCAAGAAGTCTAAAATTCAAATCCTGCTTCCCCTTTTTAATTCATTTATTACTGTGGGCGTGTTGTTTTGCTTTGATATTAGACTATGATAATGCTTGCAAGAAAGACTGTTAGAAATAAGCAAGTTTTGGTGATATTGGAGGTTGAATTCAGAACCTTCGCACTGAGCTACATCCCCTGAATTTTTTTTTTTTTTTTTCTTTTTAAGGACAGGATCTCAGTAAGTTGCTGAGCTGCCTGGGCAGGACTCAGACGTGATCCTCATGCGTCAGCCTCCCAGAGTGCTGGGGTCATAGGTGTATGTCACCTTGCCTGCCTGGTAGTACTGGTGATTCTAAGGAGAGAGTTGTGCTGTTTCAGTATCCAGTGCTTAGTTTCTCCTTTATTTGGAGTTGAAGTAAAGTTGTTAGGAACAGTAAATCGTGTAGTTCCACGCCACTGTCCCGATCTTCGGGCCTTGGTGGCAAGTATGCCGTCTGTGCTGGCACTGATTCTGTATGTTTATAACTTTAGCAGAGCTGCCTGTCTTTAAGTGCGCTGCTGCTAGGTGTAGTGGAAATTAAGTGAAGTTATGCATGAAAAATCAAGCTATGTCTTCATAGTAATAAGGTAAAAAGAGATAATACTCAACCTGGAACTCCTGGGAGTCGCTCTTAGCATGCAGGAGCGACAAGTATGTACTGCAGCAGTGTAAAAAAAGTATTATGCTATGAGCTGTACTTGAACAAAAATTCATGATGTGGACACCTAGATGTTTACACCATTCTAAGATAACTTCAGTCAGTGGCTGCAAGGGCGGGTTGGAATGTATAGGCAGTTCTCTAGCATTCTTAGACCTTGCTGTTCTGCTTAAATGTTAATATAAAATTATGTAATTTAATATGCATCAATAGGTGGTTATTTGGGGGGAACAGTGAGTGAGTGAATTAGGTGTTACTTGGGGCCCGCCCTTCAAGCCCTCTCCGACGTGCAGGGCACCGAGCACAGAGCTCGCAGTGATGTCAGTGACAGGGTCAAGAAAAGGATGACCCAGCAAACCAGGCCGGCACGTGCAGCTCGAGTCACCCGGGGCTTTGCACACAGGAAATGCTCGCTGCAGCCGTGTGTGTCTGGTCACCAGTGCGACCGGGAGCTGCTGCCCTTCTAGTCGTGAGGAAGCTTCCTTCCTTCTGCTAGGACCCAGTCCTCAAGAAGGAGAAGCAGTGAACTCAAAGCCAACTTGGATCCCATGACAGAGGTGGCCAAAGAGAAATCTGTGACCCAGAAGGGAAATTTGTTGTCCAGGTTGAGTGAGCTTCGGTAACCCACGTTGGCCAAGCGTATAATTTCCCTAAACTGGGTGATTTAGGAGCTTGAGTTACAGTTCTGTTGAAATGAGCTCGTGTCTATATGCCTTCATAATTCTGCTGCCTGTGATCGCCATAAGTAGTCTAGGGCCTTCCCTAGACTTAGTGGCTTAGTTTAGTTTCTTCGTGTGTACATATGTATGCATTTTAACTGTGACTGGTTTCAGTATTCTAAACTTAATACGCGCAGGTGTCTAATGAAAGATTGAGTCTAAACTTTTGTTCCCAAGTGTCAAGACTGGTGAAACTGAAGACAACAATTTTTGCCAACATAAAATGGCAAAACTCCATCCTTGCTCCCCTCCCGGTTGCATCCCAGTTGCCGTTTGGGGCCTTTACAGCGCCTCAAACTCCCAGGTGGCTCGACGTATGTATTTATTTGCTATGTTATTTGCTTCAGCTTCCCAATTTGAACATCTCTTCTTTCCCCTTACCCCTTGCAGATGTCCCCTAGCTGTGCTGGCCTCTGCACTGGGTAGCGTTGCCATGTGGTGGATTGTGTGTGACTACATCCTCCCCACCCTGCTCTTCTGTCTCGATGGTTTCAGAGCACAGTAGCCATCAGGACCCTTGGGCAGATAGCTGCTGTGTAAGTGTCCCACTCCGTTTCTCTCCTGTCCCCTGTGGTGTCCTCGCTGGTCCTCGTGCATGCTCTCTCCTTGTCGGCTCTCCTGGTTTCGTTGGTTCGCCTGTTTTCCAAGGTCCTTTTCCTGAATCTTTTTCAGTAAATGGGATGGTGGCAGGAGGGAGGCTTCTCTCTTCCTTGTATAGCAGAGGTATTAAAAATAACACAGCCTTGCTTGTAAGTTGTGCTTACTTGTAACGTATCTTGAAATAGCCGTTTATAAATAAAGACACTGAAATAGTTTCTCTTTCCTATCAGACGTGTTTAATTCGCTTGGGATGTTTGGGATGGTCTCCTTTTAGTCGGCTGTTTATACAGCCTCCCTGTAATTTTCCTTGTCTTGAGTGTGTTCTCTC